GACAAGAAAACATCTGAATTGAGGCCAGCGGGGAAATCCGAACTAACTTCACTCAACCATTGGGGAATAAGCTGTGTGAGAGCAAGTTCTTACAAGCAAGTCTCTTGGCCCGTTTCCTGTTTTGTTGTATATTTAGACAGCCAAGACTCCACCCATTTTTGTGAGCCAGAAAACTTGAGTACAGAGGGGCAGTTTTATGAAATGTTTGCACTTTCTGAATGGCTCTTTGTCCGGAGCAAGGTCTAGTAGTTGAATGCTTTTTTTCTCCTTTAAACTTTAAACCTTTCTCCAGCAGAGGAAGAAAGAGGCTGAAGGGGGCTGTTTAGGCAGTTATAAGGGGATCTTCAAGCGGGCGGAAAGAGATTAAACAAAAGAAACAGGATTGGCTTCCTACTTTCCTAATGTGAAATGAACGCATATGGTAGGGAAGAGAAATGGAGGAATACAGTAGGAGCTTACGTAAAAGAAGGATACTTTATGGAGTAAGGTTAAGCTGCTCGTGCCGTAAGGAACAAGGAAGGAACAAAACAGAAGCTCCACGTTCATCATGTGATTGGCTCAGTTTCGGTCTTAATGGTGGTGTTTACGAAGCCACTGCTGGGTGGTGTGCAAGTCAGTTTGTCCTGTCGTCTTGTATATGCAGCCAGTTGTCTATCCAGCAGGCCATAGCAAACCAAGGTTAATGTGTTATTTGAACCCAGTCTTGTTCGCATATTGTGCTACGCCATAATTTGATCTGTCTGGTCTTGATTAAATATTATATATCAGTCTGATCTGCTGTGGCTCTCTCGGCCAATCATGGCTGAGGAGCAGATCTTGTCATTTATTAAGGAGCAGTTGCTAGGATGCACTGGCCTGTATTTCACCTCTTTTTCCGAACTGCTCTCAAGTGCCTGATGTTGGATTAGGCAGCCCTTGGCAATCTAACCCAGCAATTGTTTGTGTGGATACTCTACTGAGGAGTTGGATTTGGGCAAGGAACATGGCATTGTTGGAGCTTGGCAAAAGGACTGCGTTAGTTTTAGCTTTGGTAATGCTGCTAAATTTGGTAGCTTTGGTAAGCCTAAGCACACAGACATGACATTATCCCAAAAAGAGCCAGCCAATTCTTTAATTGTACACTTCTGGAAAATTGTTAGACAAAATAAAATTGTATGTCTATCCTCCAGAGTCCTTCCAGTTGGTGTATTAGTGGCAAAGATAATCTGAGAACAGCAAGTGCCATTTGGATCCCATTACCTTTGAATAATTGCCTTGGTGATGAATGCCATCCCTTTAAGGCAAAAATATTAGGACATTTTTCATAAACACGTGCCTACTGGTTAAAGTTCTGTGTCAGACTGCAAAACATCGAGTCCTGAAGCAGACTATGCTCTTCCTCAAAAGGCCAGCTTTAGTTATGTTTGCTTTGCAACGCTAAGAGATGGATGAGGAAATAGCATAATTCAAGTTGCTTAAATGCAGGGAACTTCAGACTGTTTCTACTTTATGATGGGCTTCATTTTATTATGCTTTCCAATAGCTGGATGACATGTGCTCTGGATAGTACTGAAAATGGCATGGTGTGGTGTATTTTGTGCACGTGAGGTTTCAGGGCTGGATTCTAATATATCACTTTTAGAAGAAATTAGGTTTGAGTTTTATGGGAGACCATAGTTGGCTTCCCATTGTGTGAAGTTCTAAATCACACGCTAAACTAAAAATCAAACCTGGATGGATGCGATGTGTGAACTTATTTTGCTGAGCCAAAATAAACTGATTCAGTTCATGGAACAAAGTGAAGTTCAACCTACTGACTCCTCTGGTAAAATGGTTATTTTCAAGTATTCAAAAGGCAGCTGCTAGCAGTGCGAATCTCTACCAAATAGCGTGGATGGGCTCTCAGTAGGATTATTGGCTCTTAGAATATTCAAGGACTTTGGCCTTGGCCATTGAAAATGACAAATCTACATGAGGGCCACTGAAGGCTGGATTTGCTCAAGACACTTGATTACTGAATGCACCCATTTTCTTGATTCATGTAACACACTGAATAATAAAATGATTTGAATGAGCAAAACCTTGTTCTTTGTGGCTTCACCGGTAATCACTAAGCAATGTTGTGCAAATGCTGCTGTTAGGTCTAAGTGACCTGCTTAAAGTGTCATACATTTGTCATGTTTGCAAATCTCCCTAAGCTTGCTTAATATTTGAATGTATCTTTAATTTAGACCTTTTTTTCCCTACTTAAAAAAGGAATTTTTGGTCTGGTCTTCTTGAGTGAATTGCTAGAAAATGTTAAATAAGTCTTGTGTTTATTTCAATATTTTCCCACTAGCTAGATAAAAAGGAGTCAACTTATTCAAGCAGCAGCTCTATAAATGCTTCAAAGCTACAATGCTAGATTAGAGTATTGCCATTACTAATCTGTGTCATTTTCGGGCCTATTTCAGTTCATTGGGTTACACATTTTGAACAAATGTCAGCATGCAACAGAGGAAACATAATGCTGTAACATGAAACCTGGAAGGTAGAGCAATGAAACTTTGCAACACCACCTGAACCAATTTATACAAAAATAAGGTTTATTGTACTTACTGTTTATGTAAATTGATTTCCGCCAATATCATGCTTTTGAGGTTGCTAAATTAAAGGGAGAATGTAAAACATAGTTAAAAGAGGGCAGTTTTGCTATTAGTTGCAGTGCTAACTCATGCTAGGCTTAGAGAAGGAGGAAGTATGTTTCTCATTTTACAGATGTGGTTTGTTCCCGTTTCCGTGTTTACTACGGAGTGGACAACTTGTATATTACACATATAGTAGAACTCCACCCACCCACCAGTAGAGTACAAAACTGGCATGCTTAGGGCTGAGAGGTTTTGTAATTAGTAGTCCCAACTATAAATGAATGCCAGAAATGTATACTGTACTAATTATTTAAAAATTATGCAAATCTACGCCTTTTAGGGAGAGGATAGGAAACAAAGGCAGCATTGAAGAACCAGAAGTTCACTTAGCACACAAGGTAATTTATGCAGATAAAACAAAGGCACAGAACATATTGTTCCCAATCCCTGAAAGGGAAAAAAATGGGATTAAAGTACAGTGACTTGTAATGCTTTTTCAAGAAAAGTCAGTTACAAGCATTGCATCAACAATGGTCAATATCAGTCAGAAGTTACTTCTGCCTTTTGTTTTCCATGAACTTGATCCCACCTCCCAATTGTAGCTAGTGTGCAATGAGCGGAATGGATTTTTCTTAAATATTTCAAGCTTTGCAAAATTACCCAGGTTTCAGAAGTGATTTTCTCCGTGAGGCTCATTCAAAGAGCACAGGTCCAAAGCCCCGTGGAAGAGAAGACATCGCTTGCTTGTGCTTTCGGGTCAGCTGACGTCTCCCTCCGCCATCCGCCTTTTGCTTTTTGGACTGGTAGCAATTTCCCCTTCCGTTTACTGTCAGAGCAAACTTCCATGGGTGGTGATTTTTTTTAGGCCTAGAGGACCATCTAGTGGTGACACAAAGTAGCTACAGGAAGAAAAAAACGGCCTCTCCGTTAATGGTGACTTCATGGACATCCAAGCCAACCTCCATGGATGTTGCCAGGCAAGGTGCTGCCACCTGTTGAGAGCTTTAAAACTGCTAAGTTGGATAGTGGGACACGGCTCCCAATTTATCTGCTGAGCCAGCTCACTAAACTTGTACTTAAAAATGTAAATTTTGTGTTGAAATAGCATACGCGCAAACGGTGTGAGACAAAAATAAAGCAGTATTTGTTGAAAAGGACTTTGCCGTCCGTATTATAAATCTTTTTAGCGAGCGTGGGTGTTTATTTCTTAATCCCAAAGTGAGACTTCAAAAGGCAGGCCAAAGATTCACAGATAACTTCCTCCCCACCTGCATGCGTGCAAAAAATAAAAAGACTACATGCACTACCTTTTAAGCTGATCGGAGGAAGAATAAAAATATAGGGAGCATTGTTTACATGCACCAGATGCTTGCACTGTACAGTACTCCAAATCCTATTTGAAACCCAAAGACCGTCCTTTATTTTGCATATCTTCTTGCTGGAAAGGAGCAAGAAACAATTTCCTGGTAAGAATAAGGTACCCCAGAAGATGAAACAAAAGTGTGGCAGCACCAAGATCTTAAATCATTATGGCAACCTCATTTTTATTTTTATTTTTTGCATAAAGGGCTTCCAAGATGGTTTGTTGCATTTATTTTTAAAAAAAGCCTTAAACTTGGCTTGGGATCCATCAGGACAAAGTGAAGGGGACTCTGGAAACCCGCATAGGCAAATTGATACTAAATGCAGGAAATCCTCAACTTACAAGTTCATTTAGTGACTTTCAGTTACAGTGGCACTGAGTGCCATTGAGTGTTTTTTCACACTTACTTGTTCCAGCATCCGCATGGTCATGTGATCAAAATTCAGCCGCTTGGCAACTGACTCATGACAGTTGCAGTTTCCTAGGGTCATATTAATCATCTTTTGTGACAGGTGAGATTCACTTAAAGAACCGCTACTAACTGCAGTCACTTAACTAGTGTGGCAAGTTGTAAAATGGGGCAAAACTCAATAGTCTCACCTAGCCATAGAAATGTTGGGCTTAGCTCTAGTTGTAAGTCAAAAGACTACCTGTAATTGAGTTGGGGCTGTGTCCCCTAAGACAGGATTACAATGCCCATCAGCCCCAACCAGCTGGCCATGATATAATGGCCAAGGGTCTTCAATCTGGGCAAGTTTAAGACTTGTGGGCTTCCAACTCCCAGATTTCATGAGCTAACATGGCTGGAGGAGGAATTCTGGGAGTTGAAGTCCACAAGTCTTAAAGCTGTCAAGTTTGAAGACTCCTGGAATAGAGGGAGAATAGATAGAGGGAGAAAGAGAAAAGATAAAGAGGTAGAATAGGTATAGAGTAGATCAAGGGTCTTCAAACTTGGCAACTTTTAAGACTTGTGGACTTCAACTCCCAGAATTCCTGAGCTGACATGACTAGAGAAGGAATTCTGGGAGTTGAAGTCCACTTAAAGCTGTCAAGTTTGAAGAGCCCCCTGATATAAGGCAACAGTGGTGGTGTGTACATGGGGAGGGGGAGATAAGCCAAATTGCAGAAACCTGTGCCACAACTTTGGGGATGATGTAACTTGAAGATAACCCGGTTGAAGACCTTCACCTCCTTTTATTTTATGGATCTCATTTCTTTATAAGTACCCAGAGGTGACCCTATCTAATACTCCCTTGCTCCTATTTTCCCCACAACGACACTGCAAGGTGGGTCTGGCTGCTTTTCCTGCTTGAATCAGAACAAGAACTCACAGCCGCCCGCTTTTTTCTAAGCCAGCACCTGAACCACAAACTGGCTCTAAAGTGATCCGTCCTGACAACCCGGGCAAAAAGAGAGCCCGCATTGCGGTATCCAAGCGGGGAAAGAAAAGCTCTTTTCAACGTTCCGGGTTGGGTTGATGCAGAAGGGCGAGGGCGGCTTCCCTCGTCGCTTTATAGGGGGAAGCTGGCGGCGGCGATTTGCCACCTTCCGAAGCCGCAGCGGGGAGGAAGGAGGCGAGGCCTCCGCCGCCTCCCTTCCATTCTCGCACGAAGAGCGGGTCTTTTGGAGGAGGCGGCGGCGGCGGCGGCGTTAGTCCATGGCCGAGAGAAACAGCTCGGGACCCGGCAGCCGGGAAGCCAGCGATCCGAGAAAGGGCTCCAAGACCGAGCTGAAGGCGGTGGTGGTGGGTGACGGCGGCTGCGGGAAGACTTCGCTCCTTTTGGTGCATGCCAAAGGCGCTTTTCCCGAGGTAAGCGCCGGCTTTTATTGACCCTCTCAGCCAATCAGGGCTCGCTCGGCCCCCTCCTCAGCTCGCGCCGCGCGGGAAGCTCCCTGTTCCCGAATCCCCGCGCGGGAAGCTTCTAGAATGTCTGGAAGCTTCCTTCAGGGGAGGCTTCTGGAATCCCCTCAGAGGCACCAAACAAACAAACAAACAAACAAACAAAAAAGGCGGCATTTCTCTCTATTGAGAGTGGGGATCGCTCAGAAAGGGATTCCCACCTCCACCCCCATGGTGGATCCCATAATCCCCTGGCATCCTCATTCTGGCGCCTCAGGAGGATTCCTGCTTTTGGCAAAGGTGCCATTTGTAGCACCTCCCTCAGGCAATGTTCCTCTCAGGAGGAGATTCTTGGCCAGTAGCGGACAGAAAACCAGTCCAGACGTGCAAGACCAACACAGCTGGGGATGATGGGTTTGATAGTGTTACAGCCTATGTCCTTCCCAAGTGGCAGGATGGCCCAAGGGTTTAATGCCCTGGAAAATGGCAACATTGTCTTGACTCCATCGCAAAATGAATCAAAATAAAGGCATATAAATAAATAGAGGCATATAAATAAATAAACAAACTTAAAAGACAGGAAATAAAGCCTCAATTTCTTTTTGTTTTAAAAAGAAAAGAATAAGAGTCATTCAAGCCTCATTTTGAGGGGTTCCATCTTTGTCCCGTTAGGCAAAAGGCATGCCTCTCCCATATTTATTGACTTGAGAAGTGGAAAAAATAGCTTTAAATAAAGTGAAAAGTCTTGCCTTATTGCTACACATGCAAACGTTGTGGAAATTACTAAAATGGAGCAAAAGTGTTTCCCTTGGTGGTGCATCTTAGGAAACATCTCAACATCTATGTAGCCGGCAAGGCAACAGGATGCATGAGTGATGGACTTCCCGTTACTGCTTTACTTGTCTCAGATTAAAAAGTTAGGAGATTGCACATCCTTGATGGCCTCAGAGATCATCCATTTTTCTGCACATGGCTCTAGGTTAAGGACAACTTGCTACCTCCATGAATGAATAAATGCTTCTGCAATCAATGTGGCCCCATAGCAAATCTGAAGTTGATACAACCATTAATGCAAGTCTAGTTCCAAGGAACTCAGCAATGCATAAGTATGCATGGGACTGAAATCCATGGCAGAATCCAGTTCTTGCACAAATCTGCCTTTACTTCCAGGATTGATGCTTGAACAATTGCAGAAATCCACACACAATGTGGGTTCTACTTGAAAGAACTCCTGGACCAAGAGGCAGAAGTCAAGACAGGATATGTGGAGGTCTGTGGTCTGCCACATCCTAGATGCAGCTTAAAACAAGAAAAAAAAAAAAAACACCCAATAAGCTTTAGCCTTTTGAAGGTCTACAGATCTTTGTCTTAGTCCAACACAATGGCTGTTTCAGGCATTTGGATTTATTGAGTATTTTTGGACAGCTAGTTCTTTTGCTGCCCATCAGTTATCTATGTTTTTATCTGCTCCTCTTCATCAAGATGGGAGGCAAAGAAACAAGCTATCAGCAGTCAAGACTCAGTCTGCTATCCTTAAAAAGGTCTAAACACACTTTTAACAGCTTTAAAGACAGTTTAAAAGAGTTTGAAGACAGTTTTTAAAACAGTTTAAATACACATGGTTGCTATCACTTAAACATTTGGAAATTTTTGTGGCTATTTTTGTAGAAGGGAAATATGAAGTTGTAAAACACTCTGGGAGGAGCTGTGAAATTTGACAGTGTATACTAATAACACTCATTTTCCACTTCCGGACAGCAATATGCCCCTTCGGTCTTTGAAAAATACACAACCAATGTCACCCTGGGGAAAAAAGAAGTCGTCTTACATTTGTATGATACTGCAGGTAATATTCATCTTGATTCTGCTTTTTTTAAAAAAAGAACGTTATTCATCCAAATTAGGTGTTCCTCTAAATGTTTAGGTAATCTCTGTGGGGCAAATTTACCTGCTCCACACATTATTGTAAAAAACAGAGCAAGAAAGAAGTCAGCCAGACATACATATACATGTAGAAACGTACGTAAATTTGGTAATTTCTTCCTTTTAGGACAAGAAGATTATGATCGCTTACGGCCACTCTCGTACCAAAACACTCATGTGGTTTTGATTTGCTATGATGTCATGAATCCTTTTAGTTTTGATAATGTATTAATCAAGGTAAGGGATCTATAGAACTAAAACATGAAAGAATTATGATTTTCTTCTCTATACAGTCACCTCTTTGTGAAGCTGCTATTTAGAAGCCCTTTAGTGCACATACGATCTGGAGCTTTCTCCCAGTTGGTTTGGTGTGCTGTCACTGTAGCTTGTAAGCCATGATTTAGGGATTTGCATAAACTACAAATCAAACCAGTTGCAGCTCATTGAAGAAACTTATCATTTAGTATATGTAATTGTGGTATTTCCAAAGCTACACCATCAGCATTTATCTAACTCTCAGCCTTCAAGACGAGAGAGGATAAACCAGGAAAGTTAGGAGAAGATGGCGCCTAACAAGTCACATTTCTTGCAAACCACAGCTTAGTATATCATGTACCCCTATTCCATTTGAGCTCATCTAGCAAAATCCACGCTTTGTTCTCCAACAGTGGATCCAGGAAGTGAACCACTTCTGCCGCGGAATCCCCATCCTCTTGGTGGGTTGTAAAACTGATCTCCGGAAAGACAAAGAACACCTCAAAAAGCTCCGTTCTGCTCAACAGGAACCGATCACTTACAAGCAGGTAAGGAGAGCAAGCCACTTACCTCTTTCTTCAGGTATAAACCACTGAATTCAGGTCACCTGTCCTTCCAAGCAACAACAGGTCAAAGAGCAGGTCAGTTGAGGAGGCATCAGCCATAACCAAAGCTTCAGGTACATCTGCATTCAATGTGGAGGCTATTTCTCACCGGAAGAGCAATTTGATTGAAGGTGTAAGATGAAGAGCTGAATTTGCTTCCTGACCCAGCATCGAAAAGTATTTGATGACCGAGTTACACACAATGCACTGAGCCACAAAATGATTTGGTTTAGACTTAGGGAATCCATCCCAAGAGCCCTTTTCCAAAAGGCAACTGGACATTCTTGGGTTTTTCCTTGAAAAAGTTTCACTTCTCATCCAAGAAGCTTCTTCAGTTCTGCTCCTTTCAAGGTTTTTTTTTTCTTGAAAATGAAAACATTTTCAAGGAAAAAAAACCAAGAAAGTCCAGTTGCCTTTTGGAAAAATACCTTTGGGTACAACCATGACCAGGATGATTGAAAATTTCTATAGACTCTTGGGCGGCTAGGTGAGTCCACTTGCCTCTCTTGTGCGATGAGATCGAAGTACATATATTCACTCCTACAACTTTTAAGATGGGGCAATATAGAGCACACAGCTCCCTGTCTCCTGGGACCCCTGTGTCCTCCTAGTCAGTAGCCCTTCTCACCATCAACTTCCCCAAAGCAGCATGAAAAATCCATAAACCATCAACCAGTTTATCTTGTTGCTTGCTTTCAATGCCATCTCTTAAGGCTTCTGTGGGTATTGTCTCTTGCAGGGTGAAGAAGCCTGTTGCCGGATCGGTGCCAGCATGTACCTCGAGTGTTCAGCCAAGTTTCGGGAAAACGTTGAGCCCATTTTCAGTGAAGCGGCTAGCATAGCTTTGAACGCCATCAAGAAGGCCAAACGCCAGAACAAATCAAGGCCTTGCGTCCTCTTATGACGACATGAAACTGGACAGAGGAAGAGAGTTAACTGTTCTTCTTCCTTCCATGATATCCAAGGAAGCATTTGTAGGTTTCCGTCTGGACTTGAAAAGAGACTTTACATTTGGATTGTAACAGGAGGAGAAACTTCTTTATTAACTTCTGCTTTGGCAGCCAGTGGTGAGAAGTTTCACTAGGATGCAGCTTTTCCTTTCCCAGGTTTTTTTTTTTTTACTTCCAGAAGATCACTTGCTACTTGCCATTTTTTAAATAACAATTTTTAAAAAGCCTCTTATGTCATAGCAGAATTACCTAAACGAAGGAAGTGATCTTTTTCAATAAACTTTTCAAGGTGCACGCTGGAGTTACATAACATAATAAACCATAGAGTTTGCTCTATTTTGGTTTAATGCAATATTTCTCAACTGTGGCAGTGTGAAGACCCGTGGACTTCAACTCCCAGAATCCCCCACTCACTTTGGGAGTTGAACTCTCCACATCTTCATGTCACCATGGTTGAGAAATGCCGATTTAATGCACCGTTTCCATGTGTTGCACTATAGCTTGCAGACTGTGGTTTATGACTTAAGGTTGCTATTAACTTAGCTGAGTGTGCTTTTTCAGCCAACTTTAGTTAAAATAAACCATCATTCAGTATGATGTATGAATGTAACTCTTGTCATACTTCCTTCTGTAGTAAGCTAGATAAAAATAGACAGTCCAATAGTTAAAATATAGTGTGGCTGAGATTTATTATTTAGGTATAGTAAACCCCAATTCAATTGGGAGATTCAACCACCAACTCCTGAAGAAATGATTCACAATTTGCCCTGCTTCTTGTGCCTATATGGATTTCTTTAGGTCGTTTCTTACTATTTCATAAGGAATAGCTACCTCGAAATATGCCTTTATACCTGATGCTGTGCCTTTAAACTATTTCTAGTTGACAGTTGGACTCTTTATGTCAATTTTCCATGTTTCTGTCTTGGTAATGCTCTGAACTGTACTTTAAAATATTTTTTTCACTTTAATAGAAAAATAAAAACCTGCACTGAAAGGATAAATATTTGTACTAATGGAGAAGGGAGTGAATGTTTCATTAAGCTACAATACCGATAATAAGTAAGCGGGCCGGGCTGTTAATGAGTTAAACTTTTCTAAATCTAAGGTTATCAGATCAGTTAGTTTACCCAGGGTAAAAATCAGTTGATATCATACACCAAATAAAGCAGACTTTAATCAGCAGAATTTATCTGGGTGCACAGAGCATACATCAAAGCAGAGAAGAGCTTTGCCTTTGGATTCCAGCTTGCACCTGTCATTTCCAGGGCTCCCTTCAGCAGGAAACTTAGCCTTTGTGGCAGATAAGACTAGGAATACTCAGTGATCCCAAAATTCTTCATAACTAATCCTGAAAAGGCCTCACAGCAAACACATTCCAAGCCTAAAATTATGGTACAGAATTGCAGGGAGGGGGGGCTGTTTCTTTCTTTGCCATTTTCTGCCCCTTGAAAGTGCTCAAATTTCAAGGGAAGAATATGGAAATCATCACTGCAATATTTGGCTCAACAAAGCCCAGAACATATTGTGATTTCTCCCTCCCACCTGAGCTTCAAGAAGATTTTGTAATTTCTCATCTCCCATCCTTGCTAAAGAATTTGGCTGAAATAAAGGCTAAAGGAGGAGTAGAGACTCCCGCATATATCGTAAAAACAGCCTGAGCATCTTTACATACCAAGCGAGGGCAAAGAGACGTGGGGCAGCTATTCAAGCAATTGCAACTCTGCAAACTCTCTGGATTGGATGGCATGAAGAGGTAGAAAGATTTTCCCAACCCCAACACGAAACACACAGCAGTGCAATTAAAGCTCGCTTTATTCCAGAATAATTCTATCTCCTTAAAAAAAAAAAAAAAGACCCCCCACCCATCCCCCCCCCCCCCCCGGGCCAACCCTATGGCTCCCCCAAATTTTGGGATCTTGCATTCAGTATAAATATATAAACAGGTCATTCATTGGTGGGAAGACAGCAGCATTGACTAATCGAGTCAGTTCTGGAGGACACCACAGGACGTCGAGTGGAATTTCCTCCAGGGATTCTCTTAGCGGTGGGCCGGCCAGGAAGCTGGAGAACTGGTTGGAACACATGCAGAGAAGGCCACCCCGAACCAGGACTCCATCCCACGTTGACTGGCCCTGCCCGCCGCTTCAGTCGTCCTCTTTCACAACTTCTTGGTTTTGTTCTTCTGCAATTTTGTATGGACCACTTTCAGCGTGGTGAGGAAGTTTCCGAGGAAGAGGATCAGAAATGTCAGAGCCAGGACCGAAACCTGGAGAAGACAGGGAGGAAGACAAGAGGGATGTACCCAGAGGTGGGCTGCTGGGGGTTTGGGAGAGCCTTTAGCTAAGATTCTTGCCGTTTGGAGAACCCCCAAAATCTCACCCCTGGCTGGCCCTGCCCACCCCTCCCCTCCTGGCTTCCAGAGAGCCTCCGGAGTCTGGGGAAGTCATTTTTTGCCCTCCCGGAAGTTCGAGGAAAGCCTCCGGAGTCCGGGAAAGGGAGAAACGACATCCCCATCCCCACTGTGGTGCAGGAGGCCGACTAGGCCACACCCACCATGGCCACGCCCACCCAACAACCGGGCAGAGAACCCGTTGCTAAAAATTTTGAAGCCCACCTTTGGATGTACCCACATAGACACCCGCTTTGAGGGGTCGACGTGACAACTGAGGGGGGAAAACACCACGCTGGAAAAGTATGAGGAGCAACGTTGGCCCATCCTCTTGATTTGCCAGAATCAAGAATCACTAACTCCTAGCAAGAAACCTGCAGGCATCTGCTTAAGGAAGCATTTTGAGGGACCGTTTATAACGAATAACTAACAGGAGTTCATTTAAGGTGGATCAAAGATTTCTCTTTGTTCCCTGTGCAGCAATTTCTGATTATGGTGGATTCATTGAACAAGGAAAGCCTGCCTTCTCAGACATCGCTCATCTTGAGAAGCAACTGAGCTGCTTAAATAGAAACACCGACTGCCTCTAAGTGCCTAGGGCCCGCCTGTTGGCTCAGTCACACTGCTCAAAGATGTTAGAAGTTGGACAAGAAGGGATATTGTGTGCAATATTCAAGTTTACCAAACCTCCAACTTCATTTGGGATGAAAAATGATGATGGGACGTTCAGAAAACTTCGTTTTATTAGGCCTTTTCAGCTGTTCACAACTCAAGATATTCACAAATATTAAACCACGAACAACGTTCTTCTCAACTCTTTTTGTGTTTTGTTTCTAGGTCACTCAACCAGCCCACGAAGCCCTTTCTCCGCTAGAGTAAAAGATTATTTCGAACCGAAAAACACTTACCTGCCATTCTTTACATTTCTCGTGCCTCGACAGTTCGAAAAGGGTGATCGCGTTGTAGAGTTGCCAAAACTTAAACAGAGGGAAGGAGAAGGGGGAAAAAAAAAGATTTTGTTCTACCCACAGAGATCTGAGCCATGATTGTAGGCAAGAGAATCCGAAAAGAACTTTAAGAACTGCAATCCCCACAAGATAATTATTGACAATTGTAGTTAAGTCCAGGACTGCCTGTATACCTAGCAAATATATCAGCAAAGAATGTGGTACCCAACTTACATGTCCAAAGAACAGAAAAGGGAGGAGAAACGTCAGTCCTCGCCACATCCACGACTGAAACCCCTCTATCAGGAGATCAAAATAATCACAGTCAAATTAAACAGCCCACAGCGCATCTTTTCTCCAATGTTGTTACGAGGGAAACACGAGAGATGCAGCCCACCGAAGACCAAACAAAATAACAAATTTATTTCAAAATCGATGGAAACAAAATTATTGGTGGGAGATTTGGGTTTCAAACGTCTCTCTCGAAACTTTTTTTTTTTTAAAAAATGCAACATTAAATTGCAACCGGGACAGAAAGAACAGATGGGATCATGCATGATGCCGCGTGATTGAAAATACCTGTTTCTAGGTATTTTCTACGGATTGGTGAGAGCCCCGATCCAAATACAGGAGAAATAAAAGTGTCAACTCAAAAATATTCCTCTGGTCCTTTAGCGTTGCCAGCAGAAAGGGAGTGGGGGAAGAAGTGCATTCCTGAGATAACTGCTAGGCGGCCGAAGCTTCTGGCACACAAGATTATTACTGGAGAGCATGATTGATGACTCTTGGCTATGGATGTGTCCCATTGGAGAATATACATCCAGGGGGTGGGAGGAAGACCAGGATCAAGGGGGAAATAAATGATGTATCTTAGTGTCGGCTGCACCCAGGTAACGCCGGCACGTTCACTCCTAATAAATCTTTTTATGCGTCTAGACACATGATTTGAATGGGGGTGGATTGTCGGAGCCCTGACAACAAGTCTCCAAATGGGCACGATGCTTACCTACTGTGAGATCCAAGTGATTTCTTTTGCCCAGTGCACGAAGTCGATAAAGGCAACCGCTTTGGTAATAATATTGAAGGAACTGGACACAGCCTGCAAAGGAAAGAAGAAAAAAAGGAAACAGACTTCAGGTTTTTTTTAAAAAAACAAGGGATTGGGGCTGCAATTTATTAACTTTCCGTGATTTACACCTGGACCTACAGATAGTCCTTGACGTAAAAGCATTTGAAGGTACAACAGGGCTGGAAAAAGTGACTTAAGACTGGTCCTCGCATATATGACCATTGCAGCATCCCCTGTTGTGGTTCGCCAACAGCAGGTGCGGATGGCTGAAGTCTCGGAGAGCGAGGACTCAGATGAGGGGGCTGTATGTGATGCAGGGATGGGGCCAGGACCATCAGGGAGTGGAGTGCTGCCTTCGGAGATTGGGGAGGCTGGCAGCAGTGAGGAAGAGGACCCCGAGGAGCCTGTGCCCAGTGTGCGTAGGGCTGCTAGAAGGAAAGAGCAGCTGCAGCAGCACGAGTGACTCGGGAGTAAGGCTGCAAGGTCATGGTCTCTCCCTTAAGAGATAAAAGCCAGCTGAGAAACTGGAGCTCTTTGCAGGAAGCAAAGAAGTTTTTGCACTCAAGCCTTGTGGACGTTCGGAATATCTTGGTTGGTCTTTGTATTTGAAATAGTTCTTGGCAACTTTATCTAGTGTTCTTGGCAGCCTTGCACAACCTTGGCCAGGCTTGTCCTTATCAGAGACAATCGGTTTGAAACAGCCTTTTAACTGGGAAGGAACGGAGTTTGTAAAGAATCATTAAAAGGTTTTGCTGTTACCTCTGTTTGGTGTTGTTTTCCTTGGAACAAGGTTTGGGTCGGAACATCCCCGCAGTCATGTGATCAAAGTTTGGGTGCCTGGCAACCAACCTGTATTTACAATGGTTTCAGCATCTGGGATCACATGACTGATCCCAGAAGTCCCCAGGGACTCACGATGAGCAAAGTCCAGATTCGCTTAACGACCATATAATCCACTTAACAACCGCAGCAAAAAAAAGGTCATGAAACCAGGCGCTTAGCCGCGGAAGTTCCAGTCCCAATTGTGGTTCTAAGAACTACTGTTACCCCAGCACAAGATAAATAAATGAACTTTTTCCGCCGATTAACTCTGCTGTTTCTGACCTGATTTTGCTATGCTGCAAAATCTGGCTAAATTTCATGTTTTCATGTGGATCCGGGACGTATATTTACTTACTCTGAAAAATGGAGAAAGATAAAAACTGGTTCCGGAACATTTGGTACATGAGTCCCTCTGGCCTGTGGAAACAGGAAAGAAAAGAAGAAGAAAAACAAACCATGGGAACTACTGAAGAGACATTACACAGCTGTGATTGTCATGTCCTATTGCATCAGAAGCCGCCCGGCGCAGAGAGGAAATGTAAAAGGTGAAATCTGAAGAAGAAAAAGGTTGTATTGGGGTTGAAGTTTAGCTTAAACCAGGGGTGACTAACCTTAGCAATTTTTAAGACCTGTGGACCTCAACTCCCAGAATTCCCCAGCCAGCCCTGCAGGGAGTTGAAGTCCACAAGTCTTAAAAGTTGGACAGTCCTGGCCTAGACCAACCAAAAATTGAACCAACCCAGATAAAAAGCAATTATAACATTCAGCCAAAACCAGAACACAGAAAAGTGGAATAACTGTTAAAAATAATTCAACGGACTCAGTTTTCTTTTTATGATTCAAGAATCTCTATGGCTGGTCTGCCATTCAGAGGAATAAAAAATAAGAGAGAGAAAAAACTGCTTACCATGTTAGCATCACGCCAGATAAGAACGTAGAAATGTAATGATGAGACACCCACCAGCCTTTAATCCTGGAATTAAAAAAGGACACATTTTTAAGCCATGTTATGCTTTATAGCTCAGCACAGAGCAGCAGGTTTCAACCCTGGCAACTGGAAAATGGGTGGATGTCACAATTCCCCTACCCTCTTCAGGACTAGTACCTTGACCCGTTGCTGATGAGGATGCTTTCTCTTATCGTCAGTGTGCAGAAATACCAAACCAAGAGGAAGTTGAACACTTCATCGGTGACCCTGCGGGAAAGATCAGGGATTATTTCCCACCCTCCGAAAATCAGAATACCCAGAATGATATTGATATATGTACACGTAGGTACGTAATTTTTTTAAAAAATAAAACTATAAATGAAAAAAAAACACCCTGGGGTCAATGCAGATACTGTACAGGTTCAAAATCCAGGGCTGCAATTCAAAACATGAAGCAGGACAACCGTCTGCCGGGCCACCCAGCTTGCCAACTTACCGATAATGGAGAACAAAGCGACAAGCAACCGCTCCAAGCAACAAGATGATGGTTAAATAGAGTTTGAATTTTTCGTATTCGTCTTTGTAGGCAAACCTAGGACGAAAGAGGTTTGAAGAGAGACGTGCCATTGCAAAGCCAGAGTTGGCATGCTGGGCCTTGTCCTTGCCACCTTTCTCCGTTCCTTGTCCAGCCAGCACTGCAGCCTTGTTCTGACAAGACCATGATTCCTGGTTTGACATAATCCAGGGTTGATAGCTATAGGCCGGTGCAGCCCGTTTGGACAGACAAGATGTAACCAATTCAGAAAGAAGTGCTTAGTGAACCAGCCTTCTCAACAGACATCAATCCACCGCACCCATCATCCTAGCTCATTCTGGTTGGGGAAACTAGTGACTGTAGTGGGGCCAGATCCTTTGCTTGTAAGCCCACCTGTTTTCTCCATCCCCCTCTCCTCTATGGTTTGCCAATTGCACAGGGGCAGATAGGACAGCACTCCAGAGGGTGAACGTCATTGCCCAGAAGATCATTGGTTGCTATCTCCCCTCTTTGGAAGAGCTTTATTGCTCCTGCTGCCTTAAGGAAGTTTAAAACATTCTCAAAGATCCATCTCATCCTGGGAACCCTTTTTTTTTTTGAACTATTACCATCTGGCAGGCGGTACAGGATAATAATAAAAACAAGGACAAATAGGCTGAAAAACAGCTTCTATCCCAGGGTAGGAACTCTATTGAATTCTACTGTACAGTGCAATATTCATGCAATATCAAGGGTTTTCAATTCAATATATATAGAATGTGAAGGATGTACGTTTGTGTTTTATTTTCATAGTCATAATGTACACTGAAGATGGTATTTAATTTCATTGCACGAGATGCAATGATAATAAGTTAAACTACACTATATAGAAATAATCTAAAATAGCAGAGAATTCACTTACTTGGCTTGCTCACTTAGCAGAGTGACATTAATGTTCCCCAACACCAGATTTAAGTACAGACTGAAAGGGGAAAAAATATAACAAATCACATCAGTAGAAAACATCAGACATCAGTGGACGTTTCTGGCAACAATTATCCATTCGGGGAGGCAAGATTTGTTTAACAACTGTGTTTGCTTAACGACTATGGCATAACCACTGCAGAAAGGTCATAAAATAAATAATGATCACATGATACCCGCTGAATGATCGGCATGAGTTACAATCCTAATTTTGGGCTCCGTTATGGTCGTAAGTCGAGACCTGGCTGCATTGCAAGTCAAGGTGGGTGGAAATTTTAATCCCAACACATTGGAGTCATATTTATAACGCCCTTTGATCCAGCCAATAAAAGCAGTTTTTTTAAATTCATTTTTTAAACTAGGTTTACACGGCCGCCTACCTCAAATGCACGACTCCGGATGGAATTGGGTAGCTGAAACTTACTAATAAACATAAAAATAATAAAATCATTTTATTTTATTATAGTAAAATAATCAGGGCCTTAATGAAACAGCAGAAGAAAGAGGCAATCTAATCTCAAAAGCCCTCATTATAGAGCAACAAGGGAACTCAATAAAACTTTGGCCCTGGGTGCCAAACGGTGCAGAGATCCTTCTACAAGTAGGCCCATCAGCGCTCCCTCTTAGCCCCTCTGTGGCTTGGCTTGTTGGGGACCTTCCTGCCCCCCCACGGATGACCTGGGCAGGTCTGTACGGGCTCGATCCTCAGCTAGGATGGTTTCAAGTGAAGGTGGACATGAAGGTGGACATCAAGAAGGAGCTTCAACAACAGAAGCCCCTGCCCAGACGCTCTTTGAACCCTGCTGTTCTGACCTAGGCTTCACAAAATCACCAAGCAGACTCTTTGACCCTTGTTCCTTAACACTTCCCTTCTGGCAGCTCTGTGCATGCACACACTGGGAACAGGCTCCAGCTATTCTTCTTCCCCACTGATCTCCAATGGCAGCTGATAAGTGTTGGATGGCCCTGGCCCCATCCTTCCCCGGATTCCAGGATTGGCCCATTCTCCTCCCCAACCTCCTCACTGTCTGAGTCTGCCGCCAGCTCTGCGGGCCACAACACCTGCCAATACCCTTCCATCGGCAAACATCTCCTGCACCTCTCCAATTGTGGCAACTCTGGATTTAGAGATGGATCAGAATTGATTCTGGAAAGCTTCTGCAACATGTTGCTTTCAGCTCTCCTGACGGGAGGTTTTGCTTTCTGCTAAAAGGACGCCAGGTCCCCCGGGAGGGTTTGAAAAACACCTGTTTCTCTTGTAATAACACCTCTCTGCATAACCTCCGTGCGTACAGCTCCTGATGGGCTTCAGGTACCACGCCTACCTGTTCCTCTTTGGCAAATAGGCCTCCATGTCGAAGAAAACATTCTGGTGATCGCGGATCTGGTTGTTGATCTGCAGGATGAGCTCCGTTTCTGAGCTGCCCTGGCTGTCGCATCTGGACGTTGGGGAGGGAAGGAACACAAGCATAGGTGTGTAAAAAAATAAGAGCCTGCCAGCCAATCACAGCAGCTGAAAGCAGTAAGCAAGGTGTCAACTCATATTTTCTATGGTCATAAAATGGGGCAAAACTCAACTGCCTTGTTTGAGCAAGAGAAATTGCGTCTTGCGCAGCAACGGAAGCTTTGGGCTGAACTGTGGACGTTAAGTCCAGGACCTGCCTGTATTAACTGTGGCTATTGCATCCAAGGTCCTTTGTACGTGCTCAGGAGCTAAAAGACAATTTCTCTTTTAACCACAACTCACTTAATAACCGTCATAAAGCAGGGCAGGATTCACTTAACAAAGGTCTCCCCTGGCAATAGAAATTGTGGTCGTAAGTCTACCTGTCAACTCATAAATTATTTCTCTGGTCCTTTTAGAGTTGCCAACAGACAGGGAGTGGGGAGCAGTGGGGAGCTTGCATTCCATAGTTTTTCAAAGATAGTTTCTAGGTGACTGAAGTTTCTGCCGTGCAAAAATCTAACTGGAGAGCATGATTGATGACTCTGGTCTATGGATGTGTCCCATTGGAGAATATGAATTATGATACACCCAGGGGGTGGGTGGAAAACCAGGGTCAAGGGGGACAATGAATGATGCGTCTCAGAGTCGGCTACACCCAGGCAATGCCGGCATGTTCACTCCTAATAAATCTCAAAACTTTGGAAGTTGGCTTGAGACTCATGCTTTAAATGGCGGTAACTGCCGGAGTCTTGACAGCTAGGCACATCATTCCTTGTCACACTTGACCATGGTTTTCATCCATCCCCCCGGCTGTATCATAATTCATATTCTCCAATCACTTGTCCAGGTAGTCCTTGACACAATTGAGAGGCCAAGATTGGTATTGCTAAACACGGCAGTTGTTCAATGAGCCGTGCACCTTTTTCTTGCCACGGTTATTAAACGAATCACTACAGTTGTTAAGTTAGGAACGCGTTTATTAAGTGAATGGGGCTTCCCTCACGTGATCCTGGGGATGCTATGGCCATCGTAAAGACGGGCCAGCTGCCAAGCGCCTGAATTTCGATCACATGATCACACAGATGCTGCAACGGTGGCGCGAAAAATGGCCGTAAGTCCCTTTTTTTCCAGTAACTTCGGTCACTAAACAAACCGTTGTAACCCGAGGACTACCTGCATGGGGAAGACATTTATTACCTTTTGAAGTTTTTCTGCAACTCCTTCAGCCTCTCTTTCTGCTTCTTTAGGGAACTGCTGCAGGCCGCCTGCACGCTTGTGAGCTCCTCCAATTTCTGCTTGTAAGTTTTGTGGGTTTCCTATAAATGTTTGAAAGGCGCATTAGATTCAGAGCAGCGGGAAATTTATTTTAAATGAGAGGCCTTAACAACGGGACATTTGCCGGTTTAGGTTTCGACGAGTTCGGTCGGCGCCAATTCCATCTTAACTTGAAAAAAAGGAACGACGTCAGGACTGGTTCCATGGGACGATTTCCCCCTGGCACCATTTCCTAAATTTATTAAATATTTATGTCAGGGGTCTTCAAGCTTGACAGCTTTAAGACTTGTGGACTTCAACTCCCAGAATTCCTCCTCCAGCCAAGTTAGCTCAGGAATTCTGGGAGTTGAAGTCCACAAGTCTTAAACTTGCCAAGTTTGAAGACCCTTGGGATAAATGGTTGGAAGGGACCTTGTGGGCCATCTAGTCCAACCCCTGCACCCAAGCAGGAGACCCTACCCCAGGGCTCTTCAAACTTGACAGCTTTAAGACTGGTGGACTTCCAACTCCCAGAATTCTTCTTCCAGTCATGTTAGCTAATGAATTCTGGGAGTGGAAGCCCACAAGTGACTTTTCAAATCTGACCCCTTGGTCCTTTAAACACGAGTCCTTTTTTAAGGGAGTCGTGACAGAAGCTTTTGTCAATCAGAGAAGGAATTTAGCGGCCGGGCAACCAGGAATATTTTTTTTCCTAAAGAGGTAACTTGGTGAAGGACAAGTATCAGGTGGATACCAGGGACAGGGCAAGCCGAGGGTAGGCGCAAAGGACAGCTGCCAACCACCATCGTCCTTTCAAATTTCAAAGGCCATATCGAATGTTCTAGCGTAGGGGTCTCTCCACAAGTCTTAAAGTGGCCAAGATTGGAGACAGTGGTGGGATTCAACCGGTGTAACAATCGGTTCGGTGAATACTGCCCAATTTCAGCTCTACAACCTACCTTCTGCTGCAGCCCCCGGTGAGAAAAAAAAACAGCTGAGGCGCAGCTGTGCCACGCATATCAGCTGGGCTGCAAAACACGGTTTTTTCACAGTCAGAATTCTCTGATTTAAAATGTATTAAATCCCACTCAATTAAAATTAAATTAAACAGATTACCAGGACTTTACACAGTGGAGGAACTGCAGAGGAAGAAGTCCCAATGTTGGTCATCTGCCTTCCCCTGCCTTCTGACAGACTAGGCCAGGGCCGGGTCGGGCCAACTAATCGCCGGAACAACCGGTTCGCCTGAACCAGTTCAAACCGGTTGAATCCCACCTCTGGTTGGAGACCCCTGTTCTAGGGCACAAGGGTTTTCAAAATTGGCAACTTTAAGCCTTGTGGACTTCAACCCCCCAGAATTCCTGAGCTAACATGACTGGAGAAGGAATTCTGGGAGTTGAAGTCCACAAGGCTTAAAGTTGCCAAGTTTGATCTATCACCTATCAATTTATCTATCATCTCTCTCCCTCTGTACCTACCTACCTACCTATCTATGTATCTATTAAACTATCTATCATCTATCTATCTATGTATCTATCACAAGGGTCTTCAAACTTGGCAAGTTTAAAACTCAACCCACTGCTTTCCTTACACCCCGCCCTCCAGTCAATCTTCCTTTAAAGCCCACCCCCAGAACTCCAACCCAGGAAGGGCTGGGCTCTACCTGCCGGCTGGGGGATGATGGGTATGGGAGTCATCTGAACTCCAGCTGCTTTGTCAGAAATGGGGTAGGGTCTCCCGCTTGGGCGGGGTGGGGGGGGGTTGGACTAGATGACCTACAAGATCCCTCTGATGATCTGTTTTCTCCCAAGGAGGGATTTCGAGCAAATCTCAGCCTTTTCCAGCTCTTCCGGGGGCAGCTTCATTGTGGGGGGAGGGGGGATTGGAGGGGGAGAAGAGACCACCAAGCACCCCCCCACCCACCTAATTTTCTGCTTCCTCCCTGCAGGGGATTTACCCCCCTCCCCCCAAAAAAATCAAAGCAAAAATGACGCAGGGCAGGCTCGGTGCTGCCTTGCGGGAGGAAAGTTCGGTGGAGTTGGGGGAGCCCCCCTCCCCAAGCGAGGGTCTGGGGGTGCCCGTTGCATAGAGCAGCCTGGGGGGGCTGTGTGGAAGCGGGGACCCCTTTCTATCCAGGCCCCCCCCTCCTCGCGACTGGCCCTACCTGGAGCTGGTGGAAGTCATCCTGCAGCTCCTGCCAGGCGTCCAGGGCGTCCTGCATGGCGCGGGGCCGGGACCCCCGCAAGACCCCCCCGGCTTCCAGCCCCGCAACGCGTTGATTCAGGCCCCGCCCCTTCGGCCCCGCCCCCTCGCCGCACCGCAAGGTTAATTCATCGCCGCTCCCTCCACCCCCCTGGGAACGCCCGACGGCGCAGGCGCGGCTCCTTGGTTGTTTTCCCCCCCCACCGACCCCGCCTACTCGGAACCGATTGGCTGAAATTCAGACCATCTCTTTTCAGCCCCCCCACCCCCTTGGCCACGCCCCCAAGGAGGCCACGGGCCCCGCCCACCCCCGGTTAACCCTTCGCTCGCCGTCCTTTGACACCGTGCGCGGGAATCGGAGAGGCGGTTTGGGAAAGGGGAGGACAGGGGAGGGGACAGGAAGAAAGGGGAAAAAAGATGAAACAGAAAGAAGGGAAGAAAAGGAGAAGAGAGGAGAGGGAGGAAAGGGAAAACGAAACAAAGGAGGAAAGAAAAGAAGATGGAAGAGAGGAAAGGAAAATGAACTGGAAAGAAGGAAAGAAAAGGAAAGGAGAAGAGAGGAGAGGAAGGAAAGAAAAATGAAATAGAAAGGAAAGAAAAGAAGAAAGAAGAGGAAGAAAGGAAAGGAAAGAAAAATGAAACAAAGGAGGAAAGGAAAAGAAAGGAAAAATGAAACAGAAAAGAGAGGAGAGGAAAGGAAAATGAACTGGAAAGAAGGGAAAAAAAGGAGAAGAGGAAGAAAGTAAAGGAGAGGAAAAGAAAGGAAAATGAAACAGAAAGAAGGAAAGAAAAGGAGAAGAGAGGAAAGGAAGAAAGGAAAGGAAATTATTTGCAGCCGCCAGGTGTGTCTTGAACTGCGCCCAGGTTGAAGCTCTGATCGGGACCAATCCGGAGCCCGTCTCCCCGTGGCCCTGGGAAAGCTGCCATTCGCCAGAAAGGCCTCTGGAGGGCAGGAAACGGTCAGGATGTGGCTGCCTTGTGGCTCTGCTGGGTTGCTATGGCCACTTCTCTGGCCGCACAAGCTTCCTGGGACTGGGCTGAGTGTAGATGACCGCACCAGGGCCCTGCAGTCCCACCGGGATGGACCAGCTCAGTGCCCTGGATTGGAGCCCCCTGAGCTTACAATGGCCGGTCCAAGGTGGGCCACTATTTACATGGTTACCTTTATTTATTTATTTGTGGCCTTTTTAAATTTTATTTATTTGTCAATAGCTTACAAGATAAACGTAAATATAAATACAGGAAATGGGTACGAGTAATTGGGGACAATAGGACAGCGACCGTAGCCATGATGGTGCACTTAAGTGCGCCCTTTTCAGACCTCTTAGGAATGGATATTCTCTCCCTTCCTTTCCTTCCTTCCTTCCTCATGCTCCCTCCCTTCTTTTCTCTTCTCCCTCCCTTCTTTTCTCTCCTTCCTTTCCATTCCGTTCACCTTCCTTCCTTCCTTCCTTTTTTAATTTTATTTATTCATTTGATTTGTCAATCACAAGATAATAGATATAAGTATAAACATGAGTAAGAATACAGGAAATAGGGACGAATAAATGGGGGCCATAGGACAGGGACAGTAGGCACGATGGTGCGCTTATGTGCGCCCTTTACAGACCTCTTAGGAATGGGTATTCTCT